CAAATGCCACAGAGGAGAAAAATCCATCAAGTACAGAGCCATCCTCACATACACCTGTGACAAACTGCACAGAACAGCGCTTCATCCACTGCTGTAAGAGCAGCTCTTGGGCACGGAAGAAAGAATAAAATCCTATCTGCTTAATGAAATAAACAGTATTGCTTCAGACAACAGAAGCTTTTACAACGCATTTTTCATATAAACTTAGCAATTTCAAGATGTTAATTTCTCCGGAATCATACAGCAGAGAATTACTCAATGTACTGACAAACATCGGTATGCTCTGCCAATAAACTGACATTGCAAGATTAAGATGAACAAGATAGCTTTTACATTAAAAAACCTTTCCAATTTGAAACAGCACGTATGCTGTATACAAGCAATAGCAACATTTTGTCAAATGAACAGTTTCAGTTCATACCTCTTTTCATAATATTTAAAAAAGCATAACCATGCTTTTTCCTCTGTATTTAAAAGTGCACTGTCCGCATATCCACTGCATAGCATCTCAAAGTCCACTTGAAAGGGGACTAACCAAGTACATACCTTTTACAATGCCCTCAAGCCTACTTCAATACATCCACTTCAAACCAGGCAAGAGAGGGGAGGATCTCTTCCTAAGTTCTGAGTTTGCCCATGAAGAGCAGACATTCCATGCCACAGAGAACCACTGGGCTCTATCAGACATCCCAGGGGAGAACACCCAGAAGAAACCTCACTTTCCATCCCTCATATTTCTAAGCTCAGACATTACCAGCGGAAGCATCTGTTTGTGTCTGCTGCTATAAATGCAACTGAGAAACAGCTTTGACTGACTTAGCAACCCAAACGGGAAGGATCATACATGCTTAATACCAAGGATCCACAGAAAAGCAGCAAGTTTCTGTGCACTCAAGCATCATCTATTGAATAAAGCAACTGCTCTGTACCAGTCACAAAGGCATTTCCAACTCAAACTGACATGGCCATAAAATAGATCTTCCATAAATAAGTTACAGCCTCCTTTTCTCTTCAGAAAAAAACAACAAACTGACATCAAAAAAAGAAAAGAAAAAAAGTCTTTCCCGATACAGTACCTACCATATAGAGAAAATCATTGTAAAATAACATGGATCTGTTAGGTGCAAAAGGGCCAGCAGCTTGCTTGCAGATGCACTGTTAATTTTAAGATGTCTGATAAGGGCCAACAGAACTACAAGCACTTGAATCTCAGACTGTTATGCTGATTCTGCTGTGATTCTATGTGATTTAACTGAAAAGCCTTACTTATAAGGTGCAAATTCTGCTACTGAAACCAATTCACATATATTGACGCGTCACATACTAGAAGAGTTACTGTGACAAAGCAGTGCTTTTAAAGGAAACAGAACATTCTGAAGCAACCCTGTCTCATGATCTAGGGGAAGCACTAGCTGGCAGATCAGGCTATTGGTTGCACAAAGCACTGCCTATGGACCAAAGGTCTGTGAAGAGGGATGATGTCTCTGGATAATCACTTAGCAATAGCCTGCGGGCAGCTGCTCCAAAGGGCATGGATGCATCAGTTTCATGAGCAGGTAACTGGTGGTAACCATTCACTTGGAAAAGACTTATAAAAAGAACAAGAAAGCATTTCTAGTCTGAAATCAGCAAATATCTAGAATAAAAGACTTGAAAATACTTTGGGAAGACTGTATTACTTCACACTTGACACATTAGTTGCTACCAAGAAGTTGTGTTTTACCATTCTACACTGCTACCTCATTTTTTGTAATCCTAACATGCACATCATCAGAACCCTCAAACTGTTATCTTAAGGATACCAGACAGAACCATTTGCACATATGGCCAGTATCTCTAATATATGTAACCCCAGCCATCCTGGGATCTCTAAAGATCTTATGTTTCTAGTCCCCGCTCTGCAAAGTCTTTTCAGCATCATCTCTGGTCAAATAGAAATAATAGGTTTGGATTCTATCACAACACACAGTGCCAACAGAAAATAGTGCTAATTGTTACTCTACCACCTACATACAAGGCTCTCCAAATGTTTCATCATTCTAAATACCTGTTAATTGATTGGGTATTGCATCAAAGAATATATTCACAATTCAGGAAAAATCCAAGATAATACATTTTGGTGCTATGAAGACGAATGAGCAACCACAGCAATGATGTAGAAGACATTCATCTAAACGGCATTTGACTGGAACAACAAAGTCTACCATCTGAGCACCATACAGGAAATTTCTTAATTGTTTCTTAAATGACTTCAATATGCTATCTTAAATAAATATTATGGTATCTCAATTTACCCAACTCAAAATAGTTTTGCCTCATTACATTTGTTCAATCAGAACAAAGGAGGTACAGGAACAACACAGACCAAATACAAAGTATCGCTAGGGATGACATCTAATCTCAGAGAAAACAAAGTCTTGTGGTAGCACTGGGGAAAAGACTAGTTGGCAGGCCTGGTCTGGATCCAATCAAACTGCTGAAGTCTAGTCTTCAGGGCACATGGACATTCAGAAGTAATCTTTGGGAGCCTTCATGCTAGGCTGGAAGGGCTTAGATTCAGCTAGTCAGATGACCATTTCCAGCACAACTTTAAAATCAGTACTTTCCCTGGGGCGTAGATTGCCCTGTATTTACCATGGAGTAAAGTTATGTGGCTCTAAAGTATTCAGCGTACTAAGAAACAACAGAAAAAACACTGTGATAAATTTAAGACAGTGTTTGGGTTTACAGATGTTTATGGTTAACTTGCAAATGTTTGCACCTTACCGTGTAATGGACACAAGTGTTTTTATTAGCAGAATTACAGTTCTCCTACATTTTTCTTAACCACTAAAACCCACAATTTCACCTGTTCCAAAAGGACAGAACTATTTTAGAAGCAATTGAAGAGCCAAGTAAGTTCCTGAACTATGTTAAGGATGCATGTGCCAAGTATTAAGAAGTTAATTTGCTAACAAGTAAGAAACGGTTTTGCCCTAACATTTTAATGTATGTGGAAACAATGTAAGATAAGGTGTCTTAAGTTGTCAAGTCAAACATAGGATTACCTTCATTTTTGCTTATTTTCAAAGTTATAAGTAAGACAAGAGAAAGGAAAGGTACTTAACTACATATTGGAAAAACTATGATTTCACAGTCAGAATGGTTGCTGCAAAATATATCAACCACAAAAAATTTTAGAAGTATCCTATAATAAAAAATATTTCCCTCTTTATCACAATTTCTATCTAGTCAGTAAAGGCTTTAGGACTAGATACTAGATACGTAGTTAATTGTATCAAACATACCATTTATTTTTAACAAGTTTCAAGGCAGTATCTTAAGTGCCTTTTCTAAGATCTGTGTTGATTTTTTTTTTTTTTTTTGAGAACACATCACATCATTATTAGGCATTGTTTCTACATGAAACCACAGATCCAGTTTCCTAGCATACTAAACATCATAAAAAAAAACACAAAAACAAAGTTGTTCCACAATCTGTCAATTGATTTAACAACAAATTCCCTACATTTCATCCCTAAAGGCCATTTGCAAAAACACGTTCTAAAAGGCCAAGCACAAGACAGTTCTTCAAACAGCTCCACTATAGAAAGCAACAACATTTGCTCATGATGTGTACATTTAATCACATCCTTGTTCTAGAAGAAAAGCTTTTTAAAATTATTAGTATTTATTTCTGTTAGCAAGGGTGAGTCAATTCAATAATTAGGCAACCAGACTACTGTGGTTCATGCATCAGTGAGATTGATGTGACCAAATCTCCTTTTATTCCTTCATATATTTCACAATTTGCCTCCAACGGACACAGAAACATAATTTAAGGTCCAGGAAGTTACACAAGAAAGATAAAGGCAAAAAATAAGTGCAAAGAACTGTTAGTGATGAAAAGTCTGGAAGAGAAAACAGTTTCAGGCTCCAGACCATCTTTATAAGACTGACAGGTAGAAAATCTGTTTTACCTTACAAGTTAAATGAAAATCTGGAACCACTGAGACAAAAAAAAAAAAAAAGCACCATTTTAATTTCAGATATAAATTAGTATAGCACCGAAAAATAAAGTCAAAACCTAATTGGCTCTGCTCATGGCATGCAGTATTTCATCTCCTCTAAACTCCATAGCACAAGGATTCCACAAATGCTATGAGAACTGAACAATCTGGTAGTTTAACAGTGATCTCAAGAGCACTAGCTGTTCCACATAAAATTGCATGAGGTTGAAGTACTACTCTCTCAAACACTCAACTTGTGCTCAGTTTCCTACATAACTTTTAATGACCTTCTCAAAATACAGTTCAGAGGTACATGGAGAATGATATCTACTTTCCAAAACATGCTAAAATGCACTTATGTTATATAAATATATCCAGTCAACGTCATGGCATATCTGAGAAATTCCCATGTGTGTCATTTAAGAGATTTTTCAAAATTCATTAGGGTACAGAAAGAACCAAAATGACTAGTTAAAAATTTGAATCTAAACAGTTTCATACAGTTTGGATTTCAATACTTCTACAATGGACATAAAAATGAGCACAGACTTCCATCATAAGTTATACTGAGCAGCTTCACCCAATGAAGTTTATCAGATGTTTTACTGTAACTCTTTAAATCAGCCTTCTTTAAAGTAGCATTACAATAAAGAGACAGCTGAATACTCAACTTCTGAAGTCAAAAGTAGACTCATCTACATGAGTAACAGAATTAGAGGTATTATTTCCAGCTCATGCCATCCACTGCAGTCCAGTCTTCTACTCCACATCTCTACAAAACTGCCAACAGTACTTGAGAATACAGCATGAACTGCACATTGAGCTCTACTGAAATGCAGAGACTGCCCCAACTTCTCATTACAGTCATCTTCACTAAATCACAAAGCAAACAATACATTCATCCCAATCCCCCCTCCAAAAAAAAAAAACAAACCTCTACGCATATAAAAATCAAACCACAGAAGAAATAAATAAAAAAAATTGAAAAATTACCATGCAAAATACACATACCAAGCTTCAGGGCAGAAGGAGTCACTTCAATCTCGCCCCCAATTGGTTGAAAGGCAGCCAGCTGAGCTGCTACCTCTGCCTCAAACAGGTCCGGGCTACTTCTGTCTGTCACATTCCCATTGGTGCCATCAGACTTACGGTGAGGTTCTTGCTCATCATAAACAGCAATCAGCTATGAAAACAAAAGATAAAACACCATTTGCATATTTTAAAGTATTCCCAAACTTACTTACTTTTTTTTAAATAAGAAGTGATCGGTTACAAGAGTAGAAAACAACCTTTCTTGAGAACGGCTAGTAATAAGAATAAACATTCAGTAAAGCACATACGTTTGTGCTTAAACACATTCACTTCAATATGACTTAAGTACATGCTTCCGCATTCCTAGGTGATGGCGTGCAGTCCTCAGAGCTTGCATGCTATGAATAGGGAACATCTTCTGTTGTTCCAAAATATTTACAGATGAACATGCTTAAACACACAAGCCAGCATTTAAACTTTATGGTAGGAGGGTGTTGCATTTCTTTAAAAGTACTATTGACTGACACATTGGGGTGATGCAACACAGCCACAGAAGTTGTATGAAGCTTTAGTTTATGAACACACAATTTTATTAAAAGGACAAGTTGTAGACACCACAGTGACAGAGTGGAGTTCCCTTAATCCCTGAACCTGTGCCTCTGTAAGAGCATAATGTAGAGACACGTACACATGTATGCACTCATAGATCTATCTTCAACAATTTCTCCCTGTTCTCTCCTGCAAGCTTATCCCATCTACTTTGTTTCCCTTAGTTACTGGTTATCCATAACTTCAGACCCACAGGAAAGCATGGACAGGCTGCAAACTCTGCTATCCAAACTCACATTAAGAAGTTGGTGTGAAAATAACAACAAAGACCATGAAAATGATGTGTGTGTCAACTAGCCTGGCCTACAAGGAACTTCCTCTTGGTCCCTACTATGTACATCAGATATGGCTTCATCAACAAATGGCTTGTGCGTGGCCTGGTGTAGGTTGCTAATACAGTTCCAGGAGCTGTATAAAAAGAAAGAATAAATTCTTAATGAATCTAAAGAAACCAGACAACTGTCTGACTGTCTGCTCCCAGCCAATGAGATACTCAGCACCCATAGCCCGCACCAGGAGGGGAGATGGCAGCAGCAGTTCAGCCCAAGGACTTGTTCTGCCTGATACCTTATATTTTCCTCCCACTCCCATGATAAACACTGCCTAAAAACACTAAGTTGGCTTCATCTTTAGGTGTCCATCTCTTTCTTTTTTTTTTTTTTTTTCTGAACTCCTTAAGATTAACAAAGTTCTATTTAGCAAGTTCTGAGTAAGACCACATCACACAAACCTGATAAGGCAACGTCAAGGCACCTGCAGGAACAATCTAAAGAACTGATTTACTACATTGCCTCAGCCCTTTGTGTTATTTTATGGTACGCAGATATGCTCTCTCCATAATGATATTAGTAGATCAAATCTCCTCTGACACTTCCAAGACATGTGTCAAAAATTATATCCTGTGATATGCAGTATATTGAAACAAAGAGACAAATATTTAAAGGACCTCATTTGCCTAAGGGAACAAATGAATGTATGAGAGGGAAAAGAAAGGAAAAATAAAAAGAAAACTCCTGAAGTGCTTCTAAGGAAGAAACTGACGTTTTCAGGTCTTTCTCTCATTTATAATTTCGTTGCTAGAAGTGTGTCAACTTGTATTTACCACTAGCACTTCAGAAGTGCAAAAACCCTTTAAATAATCAGGTAGGAAAATGGCTTCTTTTTTTTTTTTAAACTTCTAATATGGAGTCTTTCTTTTCCAAAACCACACAAATGGCTTTTAGATCACATACTTTGTTTTTTATTAATCCAAAACTTATGGGAAACATTCATCTCAGTACCAAAACCTACACTCTCCAGACTTTATTACTGCACTTAAAGGAAACTACTGAGACATTTGCATTGCATTTACCACCAGACATCACTACTCCTTGCAACTACACACAGTCAGAAAGGCCATTTTGGAGCCAGGCACCAAGAGACCATGGTAACTGCTCCATCTGACAAAATGTTGTTTTTTTCTGTTTGTTTTTAAAGTGACTACCACGTTGTTGTTACAAAAGTCCATCGTGATTCAAGAACTTTCACTACATTTGCCATCTCTAAGAGGGTTTTCCTTCTCACTCGCTTTTGCCAGGCAAACTGCTTAAGGAAGTGACCATCATCACCAATGAAGAAATCTCAAAGCTGTGTAAGTTCATTGCAATGAATGCACTGAAGACAGTAGGATACAGAATCTACTTGCATTTGCAACCTACCTTACAGAGCTCAGATGGAAATAAAGTGCATTCCTCCACTGGATGAACCTGAGCCTCCCCATGGTTACACTGCCCAGCATGCTAAATGCTTTATTACACTGTGGCACACTACACTCATTGGCCAAGGATGTTAAAGACCAAAAGGAGGGACTGGATCAAAACACTTTGACAAGCTGAAGGGAAAAATCAGCAAGAACTGTTAAATGGAAATACACAAGCACTATCTCAAACTTAAAAGACCCTGAAACACAGTGGTGAGAAGAGATCCACAAAGGTAAGCCAGGAACACCAGCATCACTTAGAGACATTTTAATTACAGAGCGTGGAAAGGAGATACTGTAAGTATAACACAAACTAGCAATAAAGATTCAATGTCTTTCCTCACCAAGGAAATAAACCACTATTTGTTTTCTAAAATGGTTACACTTAAGAGAGAACTACTCAAAGACTGCAGCTGCAAGAGAGCCTTACCAGTAGCAGTCCTAACACAGTAAATACACTACTGATAAAAGTATTACAAATATCAGCCTGAGCCTGTCACAGGGAATGAAAACTATTGAAGCTACACGTATCAGCTATTCAAAAATAATTGCAGTAATTGATATGTTTCCAGTATAGAAAATCCATTAATAGGAACAGAATAGGAACAGACTGCAAACGCCTCCTGATGAAAAGAACTTCAGGACACGTTAAGAAATCCACCCCAATCCTATCATAGCAACAACATTGTTGTAATAGTAGTTTGTTCTTTACCAAGACCATTTCAAGTCTTGAGTTCCACAGGGCAGCTGATTTTCTTTATTTATTTATTTTTAACAGATTAAGATATAACTCCAAACATTTGTGAACTGCAGAAGTTACACAAGTACTCCTTTGAGGTTTGGTGCACTTACTGTACTCAAGGGTCTCACTTTTTTTTAAAGTTTATTTAAGAAACATATGAATATTTGCTGTCAAAGTTATCTATGTATTTCTGTATCATGGAACCACAGGATATCCTACACTGGAAGGGCCCTTCAAGGATCACAGAATGAATCATAGGATGACTTGGGTTGGAAGGGATATTAAAAATCATCTAGTTCCAACTCCCCTGCAGGGAAAGGACTGTCAATTCCAACCCCTGGCTTCATGCAGCCAAAACCAAGCCCTGTACCTGAGAGCATTGTCCAAATACTTCTTGAACTCTGGCAGCTTAGGGCCATGTCCATTGCCCTGGGGAGGCCATACCCACTGCCAGACCACCCTCTGGTGCAGAACCTTCTCCTAATCCCCAACCTGACCTTCTGTAACACAGCTCCCTCCTCCCTACTTACAGTGACATAGCCACAACATAAGACAGAAGTAACAAACAGTGCTATTTTAACAGCATTTTCATTAGTAATAAGTATGGCAAACTTATCACAAGGCAGTTTACCAAGGTCAAATGCTAATTTTGAATTGTGTCCTGTGGTATAGCTATTTCAATATTTTATTGATGTTCCAATTAGGAAACTTGCTGAAAAATAGAAGAAAATTGAGTAAAAAATCAAGTGGCTCTATTCCCAAACACAGACCAACACTCACGCGTTCAATTAAGGATAACAGTGCTGTACAAAAAGGTGGGTTAATAGCCAAGAGGAAAACGACCTTACTGAGTGAACAGGTCTGAAGGCAAAGTAGCAGCTTCTTTAATGCCAAAGAATCACTGCCCAATGAGCAACAGAAGGCTCCCCATGAAATCTCCCCAAGACAACAGGCACTCCCAGCCCACTGTCCTGCTGCACCCTGCTCAGCACCACCGCGCTGCCAGACATCACGCGCAGCAGCAGCAGCAGCAAGCAGGGGAAGCACTTCCCAAGACACAGCTGCACCATCTTTGTTTCAGTGCTCACAGTTTAAGCTTCATTAAATATAAATTGTCGAGTTTCAGAATTTCAAAGAAAACCATCACCACCTCTGAGCCAGTAGCACAACTTCACAGATCTTGCCTTACGGCATTTGGCTGTTAAACCAGTAACAACTGGCTTTCCCTTGCCCTAGACACCATTCTAAATACAAGGTTTTGTAATTATTCCTCTTTTTGCATGATGCTTTTGACAATTAGATTACTGTTAATAAGGCTAAAAAGTGTGTATTTTACAGCTTTTCTGTGCTGAATTAGAAAACAGACATAACTGTTTCCTTTTTGTACCAAAACACCACGCATGTACACAGCTCTCCAAGAAGGAATAAAACAAAAGTTTGCTTGCAATTAAATTAATCAGCTTTCATTCACAGTTAAGATAAAATTCCTAAGAGAAGTTCCCAGGCACAGACTAGCATCAGCACATCACTGATATGATTTTCAGCAGCTGGAATGATACACTTAAAAGCACCAGGAAGAGTTAATGCTCAGCTTGAACAGAATGTTTCATTTCAGTTAGATGGAAGGCTTTCCTCTTCATTTTCCCCATATCCAGAACATCTACTTTCTTTATGTTCTTCTCCCTCTATGGGCAATGAAAGCTTGTAAAATTCTGTTTGTTCATGGTGTCTGTTTCCCTGATGCTTCATTACTTCAATTCTCATTTAAGAGAAAAGCCCGTGTATGTGTGTTGGTGTATTCACCTATACACACATACATGTACACACATTTTTCAGTCTATATTTCTGACAGCCAGTACTCCTGTGGGAGTGATTATCAGGTACCTTTTAAAAACAATTTTAGAAAATTCGTTTTTTTCCCTTTTTTTTTTTTTTTTCCCCTTCCAATTAAAGACTTTCCACACAAGACACATCTTCACAAGAGCTGTTTTGGAAGGGTGGATTAACAGCTCAGCGACTGTTCCACTGAGCTTCATGACATACGGAGAAAAGATGGCTCGAG